AAAAAAAAAAAAAAAAATCAATTCTTTTTTAGTTTTAAAAATGTATCCAGTGCTTTATTCTGGTACTTTTTTGTCCTGTTTTCTATGCTGAAATCTCTGATCCATCTATAATTCATCCTTATATAAGGTGTGAGGTAAGGATGCATTTTTATTTTTTCCCAAAGAAATACCTACTTATCCCAACACTATTTTTGAAAATGGTCATTTTCTCCCCCCAACCCTCACTGATTGGAATTACTAACCTTATCGTCTTTAAATTCACTTATGTAATTGACTCTATTTCTGGACTTTTGTTCCATTCCAATGACTTGTTATTCTCTTTATGTGCCAATTCTATAATGTTTTAATTAGTCAAGCTTTGTCTGTGTTGTAATTTCTGGCATGGTTTGTTCTTCTCTGCTTTATCAAAATTCTCTTGGCTATTGTTTAAAAATTAAGCTGAAATTAACATAAAATAGACATGACACGTGCAGGTTTGTTATAAAATTAACAAATGAAAAAAATTAACATAGCATACAATCAGCCATTTTAAAGCAAATACTTCAATGGCATTTAGCGCAGTCAACAATGTGGTACACCCAGCACTTCTATCTGGTTTCCAAAACATTCTCATGGCCTGGATGCAGTGGCTCACACCTGTAATCCCAGCACTTTGGGAGGCCTGGGCAGGAGAATTGCTTGAAGTCAGGAGTTCAAGACCAGCCTGGACAACATGGAGAAACCCCATCTCTACAAAAGAAAAGAAAAAGAAATAAAGAAAAAACAAACATTCTCATCACCCCAAAAGGAGAACCCACACCCATTAGCAGTGCTTCTCCATCCTACTCTCTCCCCAACCCATCACAACCACTAATTTACTTTCTATCTCTGTGGATTTATCTATTTGGAACATTTCATGTCAGGAGTTTGAGACCAGCCCGGTCAACATCGTGAAACCCCGTCTCTACTAAAAATACAAAAATTAGCTGGGCATGGTGGTGTGCACCTGTAGTCCCAGCTATGCAGGAGGCTGAGGCAGAGAGAATCACTTGAACCTGGGGGGCTGAGGTTGCAGTGAGCCGAAATCGCACCACTGCACTCCTGCCTGCGTGACAGAGTGAGACGCCATCTCAAAAAACAACAACAATGCTGGGTGCGGTGACTCACACCTATAATTCCAGCACTTTGGGAGGCTGAGGCGGGTGGATTACCTGGGGTTGGGAGTTTGAGACCAGCCTGACCAACATGGAGAAACCCCATCTCTACTAAAAATACAAAATTAGCCAGG